CACACACCCACACACACACACACACACACACACACACACACACAGTGGCCGCCCTCATCTGCTTCTTCAAAGAAAACAGCTCTGCCTGCAAAAAAGAAAGACGTGACCAACAGTTTTTTGATTGTGGTTTGCACGAACGTTTCTGAGCCCACGGCATTGTCGCTGGGAGGCTCTGTGTACGCAAATGGGGATCATCACCCAACCAACGGGTTTCACACGCCTTCGGCGACAGCCTAATTCACCCCACGTCGGAGAAACCCGGTTACCCCGGATGACTTTACGTAGCGAGTCAAACGTAGGGAACGTTCTTTTGTCCAGCTTTCTCCTTCGAGGAAGTTCAAGTAAAATAANGAGCGCGCGTACCAACGGAATAACCCGAACAGTGTGCGGGAAACAGACAATGCTCGAATGATTCTCATGCACGGAGTTCCACAATAAATGATCCGGACACATCAAAATGCCAGCAAAATGATTGTAAAGAGTGGCGGTTCATTCAAGATCTCATCGGATGGATCACGACTACAGCAGTCAACCGTTTCCCCCTGTTCTGTTAACTACCGTGGAGACGGTCCGAGAATTCTGAAAATAACTCTAGGCACACCAGAAATGGCTACGACTGTCTTACAGTTGTGGTACGACAACAAGATCAAGAGACCACCAGAATTGAGGTTGAGACCGATGCACAACACACGAACCAAAAGTGTTTCTCAGGCAGAAAATATCACCTCCATAAAAGCTGGGTTCCCACAGACTTCAAGTTCCCTCCTGCAACTGGCAGATCAGTCCCAAAACACTCTTCTCCCAAAAACTTCCCTTAGCCGATCGCGATACGGTCGGCTCAACGAACCCTCTGCTCCCTGACGAGTTTCTGCTCCACCACCAACTGCATTGTTTCTATACTAACTCCCAAGGTTTCCTCAGCAAATTTTCAGAGGTAGAACTGCGTTGCTAAACTGGTCTGTTGTGGGTGCCAATGGTCAGCAGGCGAACCGACAGTCTCATTGACCTTGACATTTTATGATGTCATGATTATCGCTCTTATCATGTGGTTTAGTGCGGACGCATTCATTCGTACATACACGGATCCGACGATCAGACACTCTTTGCTCTTCCTCTCCCTCTGGGCGATCCGAGAACATAACAATTGGCGACGGAAAAAAAACCCACGCGTTCAAGACAAAATAAAATCATGTCAGACCAAATGGAAATGTTCATGCAAATGCTTCACACACAAAACAAGCTCATCGAAGCGTTGGCCAAAAAGATGGAACAATCTTCATCGCTTCAATCGATAAATGCAGGTTTAACCAGTGACAACCTCGCCAATGCGATTGCAGAATTCACATATGACGCCGATGAAGAATTGACGTTCGAATCTTGGTACGCAAGATTCGGGGATATATTCACCGTTGATTGTGCTCTGTGGGAAGACACCGACAAAGTAAGACTGCTCAATTGATGTTGAAACAGAAGTTCAACATGGTCAATGGGACATTATTGCAGTCACCGAAACCTGGCTGACAACCGACATACTCGACTCAGAGTTAAGCTCACCCGGCATGACTCTGCTCAGACGCGATCGACCTACAAGGGGTGGTGGGGTATTACTCTACTTCAGCAGTAAATTACCATGCGAAGTAATTGGTTATCCTGCTGCGGTTTCTGACTCACTATGGTGCAAAGTGCGACTGTCGCAGCGCGATATCGGTTTGATCGGTGTGGTGTACCGCTCTCCCTCATCCAAAGACTCAGCCAATGAGACACTATTGCAAACCATGTATCATATACTNTATGAGTGACTTCAATTGCCCTACTCTAGCTAAATCAGCGACCTCTCTACAACCGTTTGAGAGGAAAATTGCACAACTTATGGAATCCTATCCACTTTACAATTTTGTGAAGGAGCCCACAAGGTTTGGGGCCAACCAGACACCATCGGTTTTGGACCTGGTACTAGCTAACGCGAAAATGATGCTGGAAACGATTTCCACTACAACTCCTTTAGGGCGTAGTGATCATACTGTGCTGACGTTTGACCACATTTGCTATACTTCCGTACCGTACAATTCTACGGTTAGCTCCTGTATGTTCGTTGACTACACTAAACTTAAAATTTTGGTGAAAGATTTCCAATGGAAATTTCCCAACGAACAGTGTGATCCCCTGGTATCCTGGGAAAAATTTACATAGCACCTGGAGGAAATGGTGAAAGGTGCGACGAAGACCAAACGTATCACCTACTCAACTGGTCAAAGATCAGCAATTCGAAGTCGGACAAAAAAGTGGATTTCGCAGAGGAATATCTCTTGGAGAGCTTATAAACGATCTTCTTGCTCCAACATATGGTATACCTACTTTAAACTCCGAAACCACTGCACCAAGTTGGCGCGAAAAGATAAGTTAATACACCAAGAAATGCTCATGCGCAAGTTCATATCAAATCCCAAGCTGTTTTACAAACACATAAATGCCACCAGAAAGTTAAGTTTGGTGTTCCAGCGTTAAGAGTAGCAGAACGTGTTTCAGTCACAACAAAGGAGCAGCTGAAATGCTAAAACGTCAGTACGCTCAAGTGTTCACCGCACCTGCGAACACCGGACTACGACTGCCTCTGTTACTTGAGGATACATCACATCCAGTGCTCACCACAATTGATTTTCCCCCAGAAATCGTTGCATTGAAACTTTAGTGTTTGAAAAGGAATTCATCTCCAGGAGTAGAGAATATCCATCCACAAACCCTTATCAACCTGGCAAGCGAATTAACTCAACCACTAAGCAAACTATTCCAACAAATGTTCAACAAAACTGCGCTCCCAAAAACATGGAAATAAGGGATAATTTCTCCGATATACACAAGGGTGGTTGTCGTAGTGATCCAGCTAACTACCGCCCCGTTACTCTCCTCCCCGTATTATCCAAAGTCATGGAATTGATTGTTGCGAACAATGTGATGAGTCACTTGGAAAAATACGACATGTTATCCCCCGCTCAACACGGGTTTCGTTGCA